AATTTTTAATGTTTGACTATAAATTAAAAAATGAACCTGTAATAAAACCGTTGTCTAGATTTTTTAATTAAGCTATCAAAATACTTGAGCAAATTATCTCAATTGTTGAAAATGCCGAAATGAACTCCATTTAGTTCACTTTGACATAGTCAATAGAAAAATTAAATGCCTCAGTAGTTGCATAGTTTTGAATTTTATTGTTTCAATTTTATATAGGTTTCAATAATGTAGGTTTGTAATCACGATACAATTAAGAGCTACTTTTAAAATTTAAATTAATGCTACGTAAACAAACTTTAGACAAAACTGGCATAATGAATGAATATTGTAAAATAATAACTTTATTGCATCTTACGATAGTAATTTATGCTTACTATTTACAGTAAACTCCATACGTACACTACCCGTCAATTACTTTTGCCTTGCCTTTGCGGTCAATGAGTCAATTTCAAAGGGTCGTAACTGAGTCGGAATAAATCGGATCAAAATCTTAGAAACACCATCCGAAAGGTCTTTGCAAGCATTTTGAAGTTATATAAATTGTTATTAGGTTTATTTATTTATTTATGTCTCTTGCCATTTTCGTAAGAAAGGTTGTAGAAACATTCCGAGTCAATCAATTTGTAGTTTTTTAAGGAGAGCCTCTAAGCGCTAGGACGGACCTGCAGAGCCAGGGGACACACGTGACCCGAATGGGCGCGTAGGCCCAAGGTATAACAAAAGTAATTGACGGGCAGTGTACCTTCATTAAATATCAAAGTAAAGTTCTGTAGTAAAATTAAAAATCGCTGCCAATTTATTGGCAAAGAGCTTCCTCATAAAAAATTATATTAATGAAAGGGTTTGGTTATTAAAGGGAAAATTCGTATTTCATTATTGAATTTTAAATTCCGTTTTTATTTTTGTATAAAAAACCTCAAAAAAATTTAGATATATCTAGAATTTCGTGTAGGATTCCCTTGAATAGACACTACTGTCGTTTATTAAAGCTTAGCCAAAATACCGAGAAGACAAACACACACACAGACATTTGTTAGTAATTCAATGTAGTTTCCAAATATGTAACTCAAATTTTCCTACGACGTCTGGTTCCAGATCTCATTTTCAAGCCTATCACATAACTTCCTCTATGAGGAAGCAATACGATAAAGATTTAAAGAAAAAAAATTAAAATAGAGAAGCAAGTGGATATTTTGTTAAAAAATTCAAACAAATACCGTCCGTTCATGATAAAATGCACACTAGTGTATGACAGGAAGCAGCTGATAACATGAGTGAATATGTAAGTATGATCGTACATAGTTAAACAGAAGACATGTGTCTACAGAATTAATGAGTAAAGCAACCTAACTAACTAACGTGTGTACTATAATAATTAATCAAGCTGCGCTTACTTAGGTAACTTCTGCAAACCTGCCAGGGCTATATTTCTAGCAACTCTTGTAACCAAGAAAAATAATAACAATTCCTCGTAGCACTTTGCTTTGTACTCTAAAGTGACTTCTCTGTGGATTGAATTACGCGCTCAGTAACGCTTCTATTTACCCTCTTGCCCCTGATCCTTTACTCTCCCTCACTTTCATCATACACCAATCCCTTTAATTTACACTTTTTTATACTTTAAAATTTTTCATATAGTACTTTACGATACAAGGGCCATAAATAACACTTTTTGGAACGGCGTAGTTTAGGGCCCAAGCGCAGCGAGGGTCCTAATAGCTGGGGCGAAAAGTGTCCTCTATGTCACTTTTTCGATTTTAAGCCCCCTTTGAGCCCTTAAGAGATGATTGCTAGGTGTTGTGGTCAGGTCTACTGGCCAACCTCAATCTCCCCGACGAGGGGATATTTGACAGAGCTTTCTCGGCTATTGGAATTAAAAATCACACATACTTTATCGCAAAAACATGAAATTCGACCCCCCAAAAGTCAAACCCCACCAACATCATTAATAAGCATAAAACTAGATCTCTAGTTTTTAAATGTTCTTGTCACAGCTTACAGCCTCTATCACCAATCTCCAGCAGGTCAAGTTCCACGACTACATCACGACTACGCCTAAACATGCATACAGGGTCTGATAATAATTATCCAAATCATATACACTGATAGAAATACCGTTTCGTTGGCAGAAACGGGTCCGTTTCGCCAGACGAAACGATATTTCTATCAGTGTAGTAAGCTAGCGTATAATGTAATAAAATAAAATAACATCAAAGTTTGATCATATAGAAACTATAATGGAAAGCAACATTGCAACACGCATGCAGAGCAATACAAGTGAGCTTCGAAGTACCAATGGCAGCGATCACAAGTCACAACTCGCCGGCGGCAATAATAATTAACAGCTAGGGAAACTGAAAGTGAAAAAGAGAAAACAAATTAACCTATACCCATTACCTACTTGTTTTCGACAACGAGTGAAGAGGACTAAAGAATAGGTGCTCTTGCGAAGTATGACTAGTGTAAAGTCTTTAAGTTGCATCCAACTTTTTTCAATGCAACGTAAAAAATATATAAAAGTTATAAGCTTATAAACCTGAATAAAATTGAACATTTAATTTACGGTGGGGTCAACTGTTTTACTTCTTTAAAATTTTAAAATTAAAATAAGCATTAAATACAAAATCTACAGATTTAATTTTTCACCACAAAAGTGCAGATTTTTGTTCTAACTCTACACACCTATACATGCACTGTAAACAAACCACAGTATCTGCAAAGGCGCGTAAAGTTCTGCCATGTAGAGTTTGAACGGTGCTACAGTTGCCAAACCCGCTACCTTCCTCCGCACTTTTCATTCTCAGTACTATGGAGTCGTCATCTCCGGAGTACTGGAACAAGCTACTGAGCCTCCCGGGACACATGTAGACTACACCTACCCCGATCATCGAGCAGCCAAGAACAACAAAGACAACAACTGACTACTGTTTTCTGTTGCATAATAGCACCAGGCTCACTTTTATCAGGAGTTTCGCAGACATTAAACCTCTAGGATAACCAAATTTCGTTCTGATGAATTACGGGAGCTTTGTATACATGAATGTTTATCTGTACCATTAAAACCTTGTAGCATTTTTTTTGTATGGGTGAGCCGAAAACGATACGCATCAATGATGATGAAATAAATGCAGATATAACACTAATTTATTTGCATTTATTAAAAAACAATAAAAACAATTTTAATAAAGTAATCTTTTTAATATCTATTTTTATGTGAAATTTTTTGCTCATTACAATGACAGTATCAAGAAACAAAAAAGGCAGGATACTACCCTAAAAATCGATTTTAAACTTAATTGCGATTATAAAGGGTAAAAATGACCTTGAATGGTAAAACTGATACTTTTTTTCGAAATCAACGTCATATTTCACGTTGAAAAAAAACACATTTTTTACGCTATTTACAGGGTTTAAAACAACGATAAACAAAATTTAAATTTAAAAATTGACAAATTTTAAAATGTTAGCACTATTATCGACTCTTGAGAGATCAAAGTTCGAGAATCATCTTTTTTTAACCTATTATAAGAGGTTATTAAAGTTTGAACAAAATCCAAAAGGGTTCAGCCCAAAAGTGGTTCCAGATCCCGAGAAAACCCCCATATATTTCAAAAATATCGTATAAAACACACAGGTAAAATTCTACAATCACTTTGCTAATGCGATTTCATGAAAAAAATTATTTTTTTAGACGCACGTGTACAGTATATCATATTAAATGTTGTGAAATATTCGTCAAGTTAGCACGCGATAAAAATATTTGTTTTACATTGTAAAATAATGTATACTATTCAATACGAATGAAACAACTTTGAGGTAGGTTTCACCACTGATTGTTGGTATAATTATAATTTCTTTGAATTGTTATTTCTTTATTTGTAATGGCATTTTAACAACTTATGTGTTAACTTCATAAAGAATATTGAATATTTGAATATTCTCTTATATAAGAATGTTCTAATTTCATGTAAAACAAACTTGCATGTATGCAATGCTAGCACAAAATTAAAAAGTAAAACTTCTTATTTCATACACGTATTTAATATGTATGATTGTTCGCGTTTTAAGTATAATATAATATAATATGGAATTAGTGATTGCAATTGATTTATTACATTCAGTTCATTTTTTTCGAAACGATTAAGAAAGTAACTCAAAGTCATCATGAACAATTAGACAGATTTTTGCAGAAATAGTACAAACCATTAACTAATAAGCCCATCATCGATACGAACATTTTGAGCAAAGCAAGCATCATAACGTGAAAACTAATCAAGAAAGTCCTTTGCCACTGTCGCTACGATCGATTAAAATACAGGTACTAGATAGATGAATAGATGCATGGGAAAGAGAGGTAGGGAGTAAATGCGAGAGGGTTGAGAGAATTGAGTAGAACCTTAGATAGAAAGAGAAAGATAGTGCAGGATAGGTAAGGATAGACGGAAAAAGCCTAGCACATGGATCTGTCCATCAAACGAAAGCATTCTAGTATACTCTATACTGAGGGGAAAGAAGCCTCGACAGAGTAATGGTTGCATGTAAACCTTTTAGGTTGAGAGGAATAAACAGTTGTTACGATTGCTAACAGGACAGTTTGACCAAATATTCAGTCACAGTAATCATGATAAATTTATTCATGTCGTAACATGGAAATCTTCACTTCATTAATAACTTTATGTGGAAAAATATGAATTGCTGGCAACGCAAAACAATTGATAAAAACACTGGTAATAGTAATTTCTAATAAAATCAATTTAGTGGAATATCATTACTTCACACGTATGTTGAAACAACGTTATTTTCGAGTCACGATTAATGTTATCTTTAGATTCTCTATTGCACGATCATCATACTTAATAATTTGACGCAATACTTTTGAAATGATATCAGTTTGCTTTGTTGAAATCGAATATTTAAAAGACATATATCATTTTTTCCAAATTTTGATTTCATTCCTATAAATACTGATTTACATTTAATTTTGGTAATCAACGAAGATTATAAAAAGATCTTTTTATTTTTTCTCGTTCATTATTCGCTCTAAAATGAATCCATTGCTTTATTTACCGGTACTTTACTTTCTTAGCTGTGGATCAGCTAGTACTAAGGTAATAACACAGAAAAAATATAATTATTTAAAAATAAAAATAAAAATAAAATGTCCTTTTTTTAGTTTGACCGACAATTTACTGATGAAGAAGCATTAAAAATATTTCATCGGCATCAAGATAATAGTAATTTAGTTTAAATTTTTAAATTCATTAAAATATGTCAAAATTAATATTTTTTTTTCTTGAAAACTAGTTCCAAATTATCACAAGACTCATTTAAAAACATACTCGTCTAACCGAGCTAAAAGAGATGTACGTCCAGTTGAATTCGAAATTGATGGAGAAACCTATCGTTTGAACTTACAACCCATTAAATACGATGTCATGTCTACTGATTTACCCGTATGGATTGCTGAAACTGATCCAAATAAACCAACAGGACGCACGTTCAGACGAGTTGATCCAGTAAGATTTTTTTTTTATTTTCAATTCTTATGAAATTTTCGAAAAATAATTATTCAAAATATTTTACAGAAAAGTATAAAAGTCAATGGTATGGTTTATCAAGATGCTGAAAATGCCGCAACTCTTTTAGCTTACTATAAAAATGATTATATTCATTATGTAAGAATTTTTACACTTTAATTTTTGCTGAAAAAAATGATAAATTTGAAATTTTTTTATAAAATTAGGATGGGATATTTGGAGAGAGTAGCAAATCAAGGGTTGTCCGAAGCATATTGGAAAAATGGTACACCAGAGAACCAATGGATCATTTAATTGATTCCCACGTTGTTTATGACGTTGAGTCAAAATTCAAGTCTCATGAAGGTATTTATTTAATAGAAAAATTTAATTTGTAGCAAAAAATTAAAATTTTGGTCGTTAATGTAGATGAAGAATTGGTAAAAAGTATGATGCATATAAAAGAAAATGTTGAAAGACTGAAAGTACCATTAGATGTTATGTACCCTAAGCTATTACTGGTTATAGAATACGAACTTTTCAAGTAAGCTTTTCTACTTCAGGAGTGTACATTATTTATTAATATTGTCAGATGTAACGTTTGATTATCAATTCCTAGATTATTCAATGAAGATGTACAAGAATTAATAAGATATCAAACGCTCTTGTGGAATGCCATTAATTTAAAATATAGATCTGTGGAATCACCAAAAATAAAATTAGTTATCACTGGAATCGTCATAGCAAAAGTAAGGTTCATAAAATCATTTTTAAAGTAGAATTTTGTCGGCCTTAAATTTGCTATTCATTTTGCAAATGTAGATAATAACAAAGAAAACATTTAAAATTAAAAACAGTTTTCAAAATTTTTTATTATACTTTGTTCTACGATAATTACAAGTTTTATTATTAGGATTATACAGTCTTTCCATACATTTACAACGCCCGGAATGAAACCGAAATGAACAACATTAACCATATAAAATTATTAGTTGGTGGAGCAGAATATTTCAAAGAAGTTTTCCCGAAAGAACTTGATTTTAAGAATTATGATTCCTCTATCACCCTTATAAGTTCTACGTAAGATTCTATTTATTTTATTATATCCTGAGTATTAGACTAAAAAATTTACTGAAATTAATGAATTTTTAGGTACGATACAAATGGAGTCGCCGGTAACTATTAAAAAAATATTTGTCAACTCATTATTTTCAATCAAAATATGTTATTTTATTATTAAAAGGTTCTGCATTTCCCGGGCAAATATGCGGAGATTATTATAACACCGGTTTTATAGGAGATGACGCGAATTTTGACGGTCTCTTTACGGCTGTTCATGAAATTGGACATTTGTAAGTATACCAAAAAGTTATAAGCTTACTTTTAAAAATAATACATATAACCATATTCTATGTTAATTAGGTTGAATTTGCCTCACGATGGCACAGTATGCAAAAACAAATACAATGAATCTATTGGTCACATTATGGCTCCAAAAACTCAGTGGGTAGAAAAATATGTATGGTCAAAGTGCAGCATAGCTGTTCTTCAAGACTTTGCGTCGTAAGTTTCTATACAGTAAAACACCTATGCTTGCATTTATATTGAACAAAGTATTTTATTAATTTTTTAGAAGGAAGATAGCTGAATGTACCAAATTTAGTCGTCGGACAGAAAGACCTTAGTGTTGATTATTTTAATTATAATAAATCATACCTATAATTAAATGTACTTTATTTTTCAATTTTATTATGATTGAAAATAATTATTTATAAAACATACATTTTAAATAAATCAAATAAGAGTAAAACTGAAATTTCACTATATTGTTTTCAAAAAAAAAACTATAATAAGCCATTATATCTCATTATTGATTATTTTTTAAAATTAAAACTATTCATTATTTAGATTTTTTATATTGTTATGAATGGTCATATAATAATATTATATTGTTATATTATATTGTTATATAGTAATATTATATTGTTATGAATGGTTTATATAGTAATGAATGGTCCCTACACTTTAACTCAAGGGGACTTTTCACGTCCACCCTATGAAAAATGTTATTTCTTTAAAAGGTTAATGTTTAATGGAATAAAAGCACATATCTATCGTTCCTACGAAGACTGTCTCTAAAACATAAAAAAATCTCTCTTTCAAAAATGCGGAGAAGAAAATCTTTCTTTTGAAAATGCGTTCAAGTAATTCTCTCTTCGAAGAATCTTTCGGAGAAATCCTCTTATCCGAAAAATTTTAAGAGGGTTTTTTTTAACCGCACTACTATGTGAGATTGTCTTCGTAAAGACGATCGAATGTATTAATGAATCATTTTACATGTCAATTTGGCTTTATGGTATATAAAAAGTATTTTTTTTAATTTTTTCACCCCGGGTGGTCTGCTACAATTGTTTCTTTGAATAAAAAGTTTTACAAGTTAACGTACTTGATTTACGATAAAGTATTAATTTAATCGTTCTGAAATCTTAGACGATATGTTGCACGTGTTTACCGCTTAGAATGAATAATAAGAGTTTAGTTTAGAATAAAATATAAAAATTTGAAGTAATATTTTTGTAGTTATGAACAGTTGTCAGAAATAATTTCTATTCTCGAAAAAGCGCCGCCGTTTTTAAATTTTTCATTCAATCAAATTTTACTTCCTCATAAAGGAAGCTGTATGATAGGCTAACCAGACGCCATAGAAAATAGTATATTACGGCCCTGGGCCGCGAAAAATAGAAAATTCTCAGGATACGTGTAATTAATGAAGAAAATAGCTCTTCCCGTTTTGCGCAGCGGACGGGAAGTAGTCACTTTTGGGATATTGACATGCAAATTTAATTTACACATTTGGAAACTACGTTGAATTACCGACAAATGTCATGAGAAGTGACTCATGAGCAGGGTGTAGTGTAAGCATAGGCTCAGAATGCAATGTATTCTCAGCACAATCTCTTTTTATCATCTTCAATTGAAGATTTATAATTAATTCATCAATAAGCAGTTTTTCATTACGATTCATTCCAAGAGAATTAATCAAATTTACGAACCATTAATCATAAATAATTGAACTAGTACAATTTACATATCAAATTTAACCCCTGAGAGCCAATTTCGTGTAAAAGAATTGCATTTTCTAATGTACAAATAAAATAAGCACAGTAAGACCGCTTGTAATTCTAATAAATTATCTAATAGGATGTTGAAAATAGTATATTATACAACATTGGAGTAAAAGTAAAGGCTCTGCCTCGGGTTTGCTTCAGGTGACAATTATCATTCTCTCCTTTCTCCCGTGTTGTGTATACGAATTTTCCGACCACGCAGAGCTGCACTATTAAAATTATCGAAAAATCTGAGTGCTCCATGAGAAAGCTGAGAAAATTTTCTATCGAAACCTCATATTCATTTATATTTTTAGTCAAATCAAAAGATTTTACGAGCGAATGTCGGCTACTCTGTTCTCGAACCGTTTTTAGCGCGGTCGCACGGTTTTCAGCACTGCGTGGCACGCGATAATCTGAACTCGCTCGTAATTCGTCTAAAAAAATGAATTTAATTATGGTTTCGATGGGAAATTTTTTAAGCTTTTCCTTCCTCGTAGAGGGAGCTCTGTGATAGGCTCGAAAACGAGATTTTGAACCAGACCTCGTAGGACAATTTGGTTTATATATTTGGAAACTACATTGAATTACCAACAAATGTCTGTATGTATGTGTGTGTGTGTGTGTGTGTGTGTGTGTGTATGTACGTCTGATGGTCTGGAACCAGTGTAACTTTTGAACGGAGACACGCAGCGCGAAGTTGTTCGGCTCATTTTGAAGGATTTGTGTGTCGTAAGAAGCGTCAAAAACTTATTTTAGGATACACCGAGTAGTTAAAGAGTTATGCTTCATTGTATCGGGATGAAAAATGGTTTTTTTTTTTTTTTAAATTTTTTTTCGATTTTTTCATGTATAAATGAAGGAATTTTTATATTTTTTTACGGTAGAATGGAAGCAGAGCAGTCAAACTTTAATTTAAGACCAAAAAAATAGAAATTCACCGAATATTTTCAAAATTAACGACTCGAAATGAAAAGTTGTTTTTTTTGCTTCCTCGTAGAGGGAGCTCTGTGATAGGCTCGAAAACGAGATTTTGAACCAGACCTCGTAGGAAAATTTGGTTTATATATTTGGAAACTACATTGAATTACCAACAAATGTCTGTATGAGTTTTTTTTTCTCGGCCTTTTGGCTAACATAGAAGTGTGTAATAACCGATGCCTTTTGTTAACATTATTTTTTAAGAGGAAGCTCTTTGCCAATAAATTGGCAGCGGTTTTATATTGCATTCAGATTTTCCGATAATTTTAATTTTCACAAGGAAAAATCAAAAATAAACCTCCCAGATCACTTTTTCCGTAGAGTTTTTCGAAATATTTATCTCGAAATGTTTAATGGCGAACTTTTAAAGTAGTAGTTTTTAAGTGTATAAAAAAAGATTTTCTCGTAAATTAAGATTTAGTTTAGAATAAATTTAGAATAATTTGTTTTCATTTTTTTCAATGAGTAAGTATGTATTAACATTCTAGTTTTAAATAGTTGACAGTTTTATTGGATTGTAGCATCTATAGATTTTTTATTGAATTTCCATTTGCTCAAATTAAAATTCAACAAAGTGAACTAGTGCTTTAGCGACATATAGACGAAAAGAGAAAAGAAGAGAGCGTAGATAAGTTAAGAGGTCTTTGAAAAATTTGAGGGCAGCAGTAAATTTGCCAAGTTATTAAACGCAACACCGAAGAAGGGTCTCTTTTTGTTCAAATAGATCTCCTATTTTCGTTAAAGTTATATATAGTCTAAAATATCCGTTCAACATTTTACTTGCCCAGTTATCAATGCTTTTTCTGTGACATAATCATAAACTTTATCATAATACTTTCGTATAAAAACGATTGAAGTTTTAAAAACTTTACTCAAGTATGACTTTTATGTTTTTAGTAGAATTAAAAAATTAAAGGATCAATGCGTGGAATGAATGCAGTAAAGGCTTCGAACACCTTTAAATCAAACAATTTTTCATTCTATATTTAAAAAAGATTTTTCTTTTCCTTACCATTTCTTTTTTAAGAATTTTTTCGTCTTTTGAGTTTTTTGGCAAAGCATGTTCTTAAGAGTTTATCTGTCGTGACATTTCGAACGAATTATTGAAGTTAAAACACTCATCTATCGTATTATCTTTCGTTTCCTCCAATTCTTCTTTTATATTGATGATATTTTGTAATTAATTTTCTCAATTCTAGTACTAAAAAATCATCAATAAATATTTTCAACACTTTGACTTAGTAATGCAATGTAATGATCTATTACTGTAAATAGTCAAGCGTAGAAATCATGTAAAATGGTTACAAACATGCGATGCTGACTTTGAGAAACATTATATTAATTGTTAAGACTCTCCTACAAACTTAAAGAACATCGAAGATCAGCTGTTAAGAATCCTAATATTGGTCTATCTTTGAAATTATAGAGTATATCAAGAGAAACATTTCTTTTTCTTTAATCGCGATGTGCAGTTGGAATTTCATAAATCTTTATGATTTTAATAGCATTATATTCCACTTTTAATCATATTTGTTCTATATTAGAGTGATTCTGGTTCTAAATTTACTTTTTGAAGTATTATTAAAAAAACATACTGCAATAAGTATTTGTGCGTTGATAAACTGGAGATAAAAGTAATTCGACATTACAGAATCTATCTATATTTTCAAACGTCTCTTCTTTTCTTTTCTATAGCCTTGTAAACGATGTGCAGTGCCCCGACCTGCCTTATATTATCTAACTGTAATTATATTTCGGTTAATTTTTCTGACACTTAAGTGTTTAAAACATTCTATAAAACTACATATGTTATAGAAAAACTTATCAAAAAATTTGTTATGACCCCGACGTGATTTGAACACGCAACCTTCTGATCTGGAGTCAGACGCGCTACCGTTGCGCCACGGAGTCCTATAGGTCTAGATGTGATCAACTACAAGTTTGGTAATTTATTTTTAATTTCACTCGAAAATCAACGAAAAGTTTACCTTAATACCTGTATTAGTATTTTACGTTTAATTTAATATATTTTCCAAAAATGTAATTAATATTTAAACAATGAACTTTAACTATTAAATAATTAATTAGAAATGAAAACTCAACACAGTGCTTTGATTTTGTTAATTTTTTACATTTACATTTATATGTAAATTATTTAAATTTAGAAATAAAACCATTTCATCATATGAACTGTCAAAATGAATACTTTAAAAGTACAAATGAAAAGCGAATCAATTTGATTAAGAGACTATTCAATTACTTAAAATTCGTAAAATTTTTTGGTATTTTGCATCAACAAATAAATTTTTCGCGTTAGAAAGTCATAGTCTTGCATCAGTCAATCGCAATAAACATGCGTTATTCATTCCTTCCGCCCTACTGCGACAGTCCCAAAAACTCTAATAAAATTCGGAGACTTGTATGACTAGAAACAAATTTTTCATTTTTGCAAAAAAACTTTTTTTTGTAATTGAGTGCAAAAGATTTTTTAACATGTTTTTCTCAAAACAACATATTTCGATACTAATGGTCAAAAATACATGTATCGGGAAATATTGGAAAGATTGAGCTGATAATTTTACTACGGATTTAAAATAACATTTTTCAAGGAAGTAATTAGCCATTTTT